AGGTTTAGCTTTGTCAAACATTATGGCTTTCTCATTCCCTCTTCTGAGATGATGCAAGCCTAACAAGTCTGTACCTCTAATTTTGTTCCCACTCATCAGTCTCCTGTCAATGCAGACTGTCAGGAGCTGTCTCACACCTTGTTTTCAGGCAGCACCTAGCACGGCGGGCTCTCAGCATTGCCTGAATCGCACCGCACTTTTGAAAAAATAAAATATAACAAATAATAAAAAGTCAGTAATAATACCTAGAAGAAAAGCATGGAAGTGGGTAACTTTCCTGTCCAAAACAGATTTAAGGTGTGAAAGAACTGTTGTGAATCTGACCAATTGACAAACTGTAAAACAAAGGCCATTACATTTGAAGCATCAATTCTTTTATCATAGTTGTTATTGTGTTAAAAAGCATCTCTCGATTTAAAGAATGAAAATGTTGGAGCTTTCAGCATATCTCTAAATAACTCATTCTGATAGTTAATCATTTGCACTATTAAAAACATTGCCTTCCAAATCTATTCTACTTCTGCTGTCTTTGTGCTTGTTTCTAACAGCCTGAAGATAAACAGAGTCTCTTGAGTCTGAACACTATGATAAAGTGCCAAAGGATGTAGCCTCTGGATTTTATTAATTTAGTTCAGTATTTATGCAATGCATTTCTACTTCACAGTTTACAAGGTCCCTGTCAGATTCCCACTGTGCAAGTTTTTGTACAAACCTAGAACCGGTCCCTGTCCTAACGGTGTTATCACCCAGAGAGCAGTATGTTTGGGTGCTTCACCGTTCCCAGTCGTCACCCTCTTCCTCTGACTGTGCACCACAGACAACCTCCTCCATCATTTTATGTCTTAAACCTCCCTGTCTTTTTCTCTTCTGATTTCAGCTGTGACACCACTTCGAGGCATCCACTGGTTGCTGTGGACAGAGACCGTGAGTGTGGCCAGGAGGAAAGGCAAGTGAGGAAGGAAAGTAGCCAGATCAGCATCCCTGGCAGTTTGAGGTGGTTAGTGGCCTCTCGCTGTCCCATCCTTGTTTGTGAGCATTACGGCAGAAGGTGAGCAACGAAGCAGTACCATCGGCGGTGGGCCATTTCTCACCGGCACAAGGGGCACCGTGGGGAAGGCGTGAAGACGTCCCTGTAAACACCTAACAAGTAGGCAGCAGAGACTGGCATCAAGACCTGGTTTAAGGTGGGAATCAAAATCCCAACAACTAAGCTCTTCCCCAAAGAGTTTATTGTCCTTCTGCCCTCCCAGCCCTTGAATCTCTTAGTTTTAGCAGGAAAATTGTTTCACTCCTACTTTTCTCCCTAGCTCAGCACTGGGCTCCTTTCCCAGACCAAGTTTTTAAGCTAATTTTAAAAAGAGACTCGTTCCCCATGAGACATTGAGGAGGCAGATGTGCTCTCTGACATGCCATGGCGTGTCTGCTGGCATGGCCTTCCTCCAAGCCCAATCTTTGGTATCATCTCCACTGAATCAGATGGTGTCTCTCCAGTGGGACTGCTTGCCCTTGGAGACACTTTCTTCTTCCTTTCCTTCTCAGAAGAATTGGACAGGCACATACAGCACTGGGGTCCCGCCCAGAGGTCGTGGTAGGAGACAGGAGATCCGGCCTGGAAAAATATTTGGAGTCAAGAATGTTTTGAAAGACTAGACTAGAGGGGTCAGGCATGCGAGGAGAAAGATTTGCTATTTGTAGCAAATCCAGTGTTAGCCGTGTGAAACAGAGAGACAGGGCTGGAGGCACAGTGTGGGAAAGCAGGCAAACAAGCCTGGCAGCTTCTTTGTGGCTAAAGGGTTTGAACGCTGGCATGTTTTTCAGGTTTGTTTTGCAGGGAGGTATTCTCTTCTTTGAGACATTGGTCTTGGTGCTTGAGATTCTTGAGGAAGAGGAGGACTGTTCATCCATGTTATGTCAATGAAGATGGATGAAAACCTCCTTTCATTCTCCTTTTCCCCTCCTCCTCCTCATGTTTTCTCCTCATTTTCTTATCACAGAAGGAGACAGCTTTCCTCAGCTTGCTCTCATCTCCTCACTTGACCCTGGATTTCCTCACACCTATTTCCATTCATTTTCCTTCTTAACCTTTCCTTAGTACCTCAGTTTTTAAGGAATGGAGATCCCCCTCAACTCTAATTTTTGCCCAATATCCTCCTTTTCCTCCTGGTCAACACTATTTTCTGGATCCTTACCTCTTTTCTTGCCCTTCCTTCTCTCCAATCTCTCTGTCTTTAATCTCTTTTTCCCAACGCACTTTATCTCTGGTATGCTTTGCAAACTCTGTGTCCATACAGTCTATTGCCTACAGTCTCTCCTGTCCTCCTACACAGCTCTGCCTGCCACTGAGAGATCACTTTTCTTATGTGTCCCTTTGACCACATCACCTGCCTCTTTTCATCTTCCCTGGGCTCCCTCTCCTCCATCACATCAAACATAAAGTGCTTGCCTGCACTGCCGGCACCGCTGAGCTTGTTGCACTGTCACCCCTCGGTGGGTTTGGAGGAGCCAGCCTCTGCGAGGCCACGCTGCCGCTGCCGGCTCATGCTGCCTGCTTCCAACCCAATGTGCATTTTCCCAGAGCCCTTCTGCTCACATCAACAGCCTTAGGGCTGTTTTGGATCCAATATTAATATTCCCTTTTGCATCACTTCCTATAGGCATCACTCCCCGTGATACCTATAAAAGCCTGTGATAGCAGATAAGCTACTGGAGCACTGAGTCATCAAAACCTCTGATCGACCCCATCTCACTGTGTTCGACTCCTCTGTCTGTGATCCCTTGGCTGAGGTCGTGATCTTCCTGGGGCAGGGCAGCCCTTTGGCCTTTATCTTCCCAGCATGGTGAGTGCCACACCATGATGATGGCACCGAGTCTCTTTAGTAATAGGGATGTTAGCAAGGACAGAAGAAATATCCAGCTCCACGTTCAAGGGTCACAACAGCTATCTTAAATTAGATCATAGAAACTGCAGAGGGTCCTCGCTTGGAGAGAAAATGGGATTGGGAGTAGAGGAGTGGAGCTCTGTGCTGGCTTTCATGTTGATGCTCTTCATAGGAGATGAGAGCCTGAGGCTCTTGCCCTTCAGGCTGAGTCAAGGGTTATCTGTTTGCTGATTAATATAGAGCTAAATAGGCAGGCAGACCCCAGCTTCACAGCCTGAAAGGAAAGAGCTGCTCAGAGTTCCCAAAAAGCAGGTAAGAAGCCCTGGAGGCTCGGAAGACAGCTTGGGGCTGTGCATCCCACTGAGACAGAGGTGCCGCTTTGAGGGAGGAGGTTGATGCGCAGGTCCAGGGCAGAGGCAGGATGTCCGTGTTTCCTGGTGGAAGTCATCAATCTGCTCAGCATGCTTGTCGCTGTCATGCTCATCTTGAGACACCTCATGCTGCCTTTTTGTTGGATTGGGACCATGCCCATCCTGGGGTAATGCGTGTCAGTCTTGGAGCAGGGTGTTTAAAGGCATCACCCAGCCTAGGTCTGCCTGAGGAGCAGGGCTTACCACGCTTGTGAAAATCTTCTCCTCTGCTGTCCAAGTAATTGCAAGCCTGGGATCAGACAAACATCTAATAGCTAAGGTTTAGCTTCAGTTCTTGATTTCCCAGGAGCCTTTTTACATCCAGGAAAATGAAATTTTAAACCTGTCTTTTAGAGCTGCTGTCTTCAGGTCAGGCTGTATCTGTGCTTTCAGTTCCATCATCTTTCCTGAACATGACTAACTCTTTCTGTCAGGGCTGGGTGACCAGGCATCTGCCTGGACCAAAACCAAACCCACTTACTCCATTTCCTGTTGTTCCCCAGCCTGTCCAGCCCACCTCTGTCTCCCCCAGCTGATAAAACCACACCAAGAGTTTTCCTTGCCTTGATACTTAGAAGTCATCCCTGAGTAGAGGAATGATCGTCTTAGAGTCCAGTCTATTTTTAGTGCTTTTACAGGCTCCTTCTCTGACCTTGGGCAGGCACTTTAACCACCCGCTGTCCCATTTCATCATTTGCAATATAGACTACTCCTACCTCATCTGCAAAGCACTTGTGGGTTGGTAGCACTTGGAGATTTTTGCTTGGAAATCACTTTAACAGCATAAACCAGCTTTGTCTAAAAGGGACGTGTCTTATTGGCACCCAGGATTTTTTTAGGTTGTTGGCAACATATCTGATCATATCTAACTTCCTGGGTGGGAATTTGCACATTTTCTTGACTCTGAGGAACTGCTCTGTAGTCTCCTTTCCATCCCCACTATTCTGAAAACATTAATTTTCCCAGTCACTGAAGGAATACAGCCTTTACCCAGCAGTAGCTCTGCCGATCATAAGCTCTGAGGAGTGGTTTCATTCCCTTTAGGTAGATTTTTTTTTTTTTGCTAGTTCTATAGATTTGGTCAAAATATTCAGAGGTGTGTGTTGATTAGGGGTATGTGATCTGAGGGTCTTCATGCCCCTTCTGCCTCTTGTTAATCTCTCCTGAGGGAGGGTCTGCCAAGGTGAGGTGATACTGCTCCACAGGAGGGGTTTGGATGCCTATTCAGCTCCCAGAGAGATGGGAGGAGAATGCCTTTCCCAGGCGCCTTAGCAGCACGTGGCTGGCAGCAACAGTGGTGACAGACACCCCAAGAAGGGGCAAAGTGGGTTCCCAGCAGTGCCAATATCCTGCCACCTGTCTTCTCCCTCTCCTTCTCCCCCTCCCTTAGCCAGGCTCATGGCTGGAGAGGGCAGCTAACGCCTTCTTCGGGGTGGCGAATCTGACTTTGCAGCATCCCCCTGGCAGCCCCAGGAAGATTTCTGGCTGCGTCAGCCAAAATTCCTGCCGGGGACTCTGCTGCAATGCAGCACACCACACCCCCGCCAGCGCTGAGCCCCAGCCTGGACAGCCGGTGCTGCTCAGCTCTAGCCCCGCATCGCCGTAGGCTTCCCTCCTCCTCTTCCCAGCGAGCCCTGATGATTCCAGGTTGCTTGGCATTATTTCCTGTGGGCAGCTGGCGTCCGCAGCGTGTGTCGGCGTAGCCTGGCGCATGTTCGGTTTCACAACGTGCTGCCTGCAGAAAGCACTGGCTCCCCGAAGGGATCGGCTGTGGTTTCATATTTCATTTCCCTCGCACGCTACACCCAAATTCCAGACGCTTTCTGGCTTTGCTGCTGCATGGACTCAGAGCACAGGTCCTGTGCCGTACGCAGCGGAGGCAGACGGGGCTTCCCTCAGCTCCAGGGAGTGGACCATGAAGACGTCAATTGTATTTTTGCTTTGCATCTCAGTTTTCCCAGGCTTTTCCCAGGGCAGAGTTGTTGGAGAGGATGAAGCTGGTTTTGCCGAGTGTAACGTGTTCTTCCCTGGACAAGTCCCACCCGAAGGATTTACGGAGCCGTTCCACGTGAAAATCTGTCAGCAGTACAACAAAGAGCCACGCTTTGCAACCCTCTACAGTACTAAGGACAAAATCCCTCTTTATTCAGCTTTTAAGTATACAAAGCCAGCCCAAAACAAGGAGGAGAACTGGCTGGTCGAACCACAGGTAAGTCAGCTTTTCCTTTGCTGTAAAGCAAATGTTCCTGGAGAACGTTTCCTCTGGGGTGAAGCTGGGGCTAGGATTTTGCAAAGGAGGCAGGAGCTCTGCTTGTTGAACCTCTTTCAATATTAATTTAACACAAGCAGAACTTATTCTTGTGCTTGGAACTGAGCAAACAAATAGTTCCTTGTCCCACAGGGCTTATAATGAAAGCTGGGAGGCTGCTGCATGCGACGTGCAATGCCAGGGGAGAGGAAAGTCATCTTTGATACCAGCTGATGCGTCTGTCCTGCCTAGCCAGCTATCACGGGCAGGGAGCACTGCCGGCGGGTAGCAGGGTTAAACATCACAGTGTCAAGTTGAAGTTTGTTCTGTTGCCAGTGTGATCACAGTGTTGGTAAGAGTTCTTTAGCTTCACTGCGCAGGGATAAAACATCCGTTTGCAGTTCACCAAGTCGACCCTGCGGCTTTTTGTTGTGTCCCCGTGTTGCAGACTCCAGTAGGGAAATGAGTTGCCGTGTCCTGGAGCGTGCAGGCTTCAGTCAGGTCAGAAGAGTGCAGTATAAAATGAATTTTGCCAGAGCCTCAGTGGTTTTTGACTCCCCTGACACTTGGCATGTTTAAGCAAGTCCTTCAGGCTGTTAAATTTAAAGGAAATCCTTAAAAAATGCCTGGTGTCCTAAGAGAACAAGTACGCTTTACCTCTCCTTTTTTTGCTGTGTTTCAGGTTTTTCAGCAGTGATCATGGGGAATTTTGTAGCGAACATCAAGCTACCCCCATCTATTGAGCTCAGGAAAGACTGGCAGCATGCAGGGGTGCTTTGTCAGGGCTGGAATGGCTGCAGTATCAGAGCAGCGTGTTGGGAGCAGGGCCCTCAGGTGCTGGGTGCTGGATGTGGCCAGAATCAAAGCTCACCCCTGTCCCAAGAGAGTGGCTACCAGGCTCATTTTCCTCATGTGGGGTGATGAGATACTAAGACCACGAGGTCACAGGCAGTGAAGACAGGAGATCCTATGTCCCTGTCTTCACCTTGGACTGTCTCCCTGCTCCCCAGGCTGGGTTTTGAGTTGCAGGAGTTCCCAAGGGCCTTTTGATCTGCTCTCCTTCCACTTCACAGATGGCTGTGGGAGGTGTCTGCTTGCCCTTTTAAAACAGAGGGAAGCTTTTTGCAGACTGCCATTATGGAGTTGAGGAAGGGTGATGAATTTTTAAAGCACAAAGAAGACGTAGATGAATGAGCATCTGCTGTCAGTGCCATGGAGGCAGTGAGGCAAAAACGGCAGAGATGAGATCCTTTCCCATTTGCCTCAGCCGCTGATGCCCTTCGTCACTTCTAGCCACCATATCTCCTCCTGCTCCTCATGGTCTGACTCACCAGACCTGCCCAGGCAAGCTTGAAAGCCACTCCTGCCATGGAGCAGTGGGCAGCACCTCCACAGCAGCTTCGGTTCTCCAGCACCTCCCTCCAGCTGGCTCCCCTGCCCTCCCTGCTCCATTCTTCTTCATCCCTCACCTTGTCATAGTCCCTGCCAGCACTCCAGAGCCCCAAACCTTGTGTGTCCTGCCTCCAAACTACCGTGGCCCCAGAAATAATTGGCCAGGCGCTACCTTTAGTTGCTCTGGCTTCTCCAGAGCATCCCCATGGGTTGCTGTGGGTACGTTCTTAGTTTACACTAATGGTTCCCCTTCACTCATTGCTGAAATGCAGGTGTCTCAGAGGTGGGAGGTAGCAGCTCTGCAGTTCACTGGAGAAACCTCAGTCTGAGACAGAAAACCACTAGAAAAAAAAATTGTCTGAAGAGTCTGTGAGGAGAAGAAATCAGGACTACCAAAAATTCCTATAACTCAAGAAATAAGCACGTACACCCCTCTCAGACACCGCCACGCCAGATCTGGGAGGAGAAAGTGGGAAAGAGATTTCACACCCATTATGTGTGTTCCTATCAAGGCTAGGTCAGATGGTTTGGAAAAGTCAGATGGCTGCTGAAGGGAACCCTTAGCAACACCTGCTCTGCAGCATAGCCCCATGAGGTTATATTGCCTATTTTCTGGGTAATTTCCTCGCCAAGACAGGGATAGCCCGGTATGAGCAGGCTCAGCTGCACAGTGGCATGTGCTTATGCCTATGTACGTGCACATGGAGATGCAGAGACACAGCAGGCAGAAAGAAATCACTATAAAAATGCTCTCTGCACTCTGGTGAGGGCCTCAGGGTTGTCACATGCTTTTTTTTTGGGTAATGATGTAAGTGGTGAGGGCACCGTCTCACTCCCTGCTTGCCTACCTCCTCAGGAATGTCTGCCTGAGAAACAAATGCCAAATGTAGCACAGAGGCAGTAATTGGGTGAGAAGCGTGAGGCATGTCAGTGCCACCCACTGCCGATTGGCAGCTGGAAATAGCAAATTAATTCAGCAATTAGTGAAAAATTAGAGAGCAGGCGGGGTAGGCTGATGAGCAGGTTACTGATGGGACTCCCCCAGGCTCGGGTCTGAAAACCTGCTCTGCCACAGATTTCCTAGGGGTTGAGGGCAAGTCACTTAGGTGGCTTTCACCTCATCTCATTTCGGTTGTCTGAAAACCTATGGTTTTGACTCTTTCTTCAGCTTAGAGAGAGATGGAAAACTCTGGAGTTGCTTTTTCTGTCCTAACATATGAGGGGCTGGATGAATCACCTTGTGTATTCATTTGGTTGATGACTACCACCAGCCAGATGACCAAGGTGGGATTTGCATTGCCCAGCTACAGCTGCCTCTGAGCTGCTCTTGCCATGTCTCTTGGTAGACAGTCAAGAGAAACAGGTACTTCTAGAGCCACTCATGTGAATGTCCTACAACAGAAACCTTGGTGTAAGATGCACTGTGCCTCCTCCCTGGGACCTGTACTAAGGGTAAATGAAATATCTCCACTGCAATCAAAGGCGTAAGCGTGCCTGAGGAAATAGGGGAGTGGGATGCTGAAGTTCGCCTGGAATGGTACTAGGGTGGGGAAGGTGGGAGGTAACAGTGTCCTATGCTGTTAAATGACCAAACTTGATGGAAGCTGCCTGCTGTGTGTTGCCATACTGTTAATCCTCCTCTGCCTCTGCCCCTTGTGTGAAACTGCAACCCCACTTTATGAAACACATCGATATTGTTAGGTGCTCACATCCATACAGGTGTTCAGATGCATAATTTATTTTTAAATCCCCATCCTATGAATGAGGTGTTTGCCGGTCTGCTCGGATCTTGCCCTTAGCTATTCCAGTTTTTTTGGGCAGGTGGCTTCTTGGCTGACTCCAAGAATGCAGATATGCTTTGGCAGTGACACAATCCAAAAGCTTTTTGAAGAAGTGAGGAAAAGTAGCTTGCAATGCAGATTAGATGCAGTGCTGGAGACAGCTTGCCTTTGAGGCTGAGGTGGAGGAGGTATGAAAACCTCAGTTACACATGAGTTATTACAAACCATAATACGAGTTATTATAAGCATAACTTGGTGATGTCAGAGCCTTACGCATGAACAGCACACAGCTGCATTTTTATCATGTTCTTTTTTAATTGCACCTAAACAATCCCAATGGTATGTGCAAAAGCCTGCAGCTGAACAGGTAACCGGAGACATATTTTCTTGATGGGCACCTCAAGATTTGCATGCATCAGCTCATAAGGAGAGAAAATTAAGTTTATACCATCTGCTTCATGTAGGCTGGGAATCTCTGCCAGGAGGTAGAGCTGACCCGTCTTGGGTCTATGTGTCCTTGTGGTATGGCAGCGCTGCTGTGGGAGTGAGAGGGGATGAGTGTCTCTGCGAGGGTGTCAGGCTCAAAAGGGCCATAGCATGGAGGGCAGTTCCCAGGCACAGCCTTGCACCCGTGCCCACTCCTTCCTCACCTGCACTGTGGGATTAAACACAGCGGGTGCATCCCTTGTCCCATGGCACAACACCGTCATCTCATCAGAACAGGGAGAATGAGTTGGGGGGGCAGGAAGGGACAGTGATTTTTGTGGAACGCAAAATGTCTGGCCTCATCAGCCAGCTACAGCCCGTGAGTTTGGGGTGTCTGAGCAAGAGGAGCAGAATAAGGCAGATGAAGCACAGGATAAGTATTTTTTAAGTGGCATATTTAGAAAAAGCTACGACTTGTGCATCAGCACATAGGACTCGCTGTGATTCTTCCAGTCCTGAAGCAATAAGCATCAGATGCTTCAAAACGAAGTGCAAGAAACCTCCTTAGCAGGAGATGGCGTAACATAGCCCTCTGCAATGGCCAGCGTTGGCACTGTGACCAGCCTTGGTGCAGAGGGAGCCCTGAGCCTGGACCGGAGGGGCTTGGCCGATGCAGGAGGCCAGCCAGAGCTCACTTGCTATGGCGAGGATGACGGATAGCTGCTGACACTCGCTGGCGCTGGCCCTTTCACCCTGACTCTCAGCACAGGCTGACGCAGAGCTGCGAGGAGGTGATGAGGCACTAAGAGGATGCAAACTCTGGGTAAGGTTGCAAGGACGTAGTTGCACATCTGTCCAAGTGCATTGCAAGGTGGCCAAGGGACGAGGAAGGATGACTGGAGAGTGATTCAAGGTAGGCTATGAACTGTCTGCCGTAGATGTCTCCGAAGTATGTATTATATAGTGCAGTAAACAGTCTATAGGCCAGGAGCACAGACAGCAGGTTTAATTGGGCCAGCACAGTGCTGGGAGCTGAGGGCCAAAGCCTCTGAAACAGAAACTACAGGAGGCAGCAGCTGCCAGAGACCGTCTGCCATCCCCAAGCTTCTACCAACACGCTCACCCTCTGATTTGGGGAAGAAAATGACAATCTGGCACACACACCCCCGGAACAGCTGCAGGCAGTGTCAATAGGAGTGACTAAGGAGCAGACAGAGCTACAGCCGCCCGAGAAAGACCTGAGCATGCCCTGGCGTTTATTGCTCCTGCTCCCACTGCTCATTACCTCCCCGTGCATGCCCCTGTGCATGACTCCAGGACGAATTCCCGCTGCAGCAATTGCTACCTCTGGCTCCGCAGCACGGGAGTGGCAGACATGAGCAGGTAACACAGATTCCATCGAGGACCTGCGGTGATGGCATCCTCACCCATGTTATGCCAGGAGCTATGTGGTCATTAAGGATGAGGTTCAGACTATTAATGACATGAGGTTCAGACTACTAATGATAAGCCCTGAGAGAGCCCTAGGAGCTCACTGCCCTGTCTGTGTTCAAGGCAGAGAAGTTCAGGTCACCTGCCATGGTGCCTGGCTTCATTCTGGCTTCTTACACAATCAGTGGTGAAAGGTAAATGCCTTCTCTAGGTGTCTTATGGGTTCTGTTCTGCATGGCTTGGATTTGATAGTTCAGAGGGACTGAATTAAGGTGCCATGGTAGGTGCTTAAATGAACTGGAGGTACCACCACCATAGGATGTGAGAACACAGACCTATATCAAGCCATCTGTTGGTCTTAAAAATCTCTTCTAGAAAAAAAAGCACAAGTTAGAGGCTTGGTGCAGGGTGGCTGGTGAGATTCTGGAGGCTGTGTTGTGCTGCGGACCAGACTGGAGAGCTGCAGGCATCCCTTGCAGCCTAAACTGGTGTGTTTGGCAGGGCAGCTAAGTACAGCATACACTCTGCTGAAGCGCTGCGAGGAAAATAAGGAGGGAGCGCAGGCTGTGGTCTGAGGCACAGTGTGTAGTAGCAGTCATAATGGAAAATACACTTCAAGGCCCATTTTACACATTGCTTTCTAGAAAGGCAAATTGCATCCCATAACTCTCCTCTCTACTATTTCAGATAGACGATCCAGAAAATGATCTGCATGAGATGGTGCATGAAGCCGATATCATTGGCGCTGTGGCCGACCTTGGTGCAAATCAAGCCCTGACCTCAGACTACGTGGGCTCTGGTTATGAGAGAGGGCTGCTCAATCCCAGCTTGCTCAATGAGGAGGATTTCCAAATGGCCACTTACACGCTCACTAACGCTGTCCCTCTGAGCCCATCTCTGAGCAAAAGCTGGCACAGAGACATTGTGAGGGTAGTGGAGCAAGCTCTGGTCCCTCACTGCTCCAAGAAGGATCACCTGTATCTCCTTGCAGGCGCGATTCCTTCCAGTGTCCGAGTTAAAGGCAAGGTGTCAGTGCCAGACACCCTCTGGCTGGCAGCCTGCTGTGATGCTCCGGGGGGATGGTCCCTGGGACTAGTGAAGAAAATGAATGATGAAAACAGCTTGGCGGACCTCATGGTGGGAGAGCTGGAGAAGCAGCTTCTAGCAGGGGTTCACTTGTTCAAGGGCAACTGTGGGGGAGACAACCAAAGCCAGGAGAAAACAGAAGCAATACTGCAAGCTGTCGGTCAGATCCGCTCTGGAGAGCAAGTAGGAACAAGTGACAACCAGGAGGCCAAAGACAGCGGCTTGGTGAGAAGAGTGGCTGCCATCATTGCTACCCCTTTCATCAAACTTCTGGAACTCCTCATCTACGTGTTTGTGGAGCTGGTGAAATTTGTGTTTTATTTTCTGTGGCTTGTTATCAAGCGGGTTGGTGGTACAGTTCTAGATGGAGTCTACAGCCTGTGGAATGGGGTGGTGTCCTATCTTAAAGCCATCAGCATGGTGCTCATCAGCATCCCCTATGATGTGGGGAGGGTCATCGTCAACATCTTCCTGGGCTTCCTGGAAATTGTTCAAGATGTGGCGTCCCTCACCTACCGGATCCTGCGCATCCCTGTGGGGTTTGTCCTTCACCTCGCTGCTTTCCCTTACCATTCCATCTGTGCCATTCCCTCCGTCCTCAAAGATGTGGCCACCGGGATCGGGGGCACCTTCTCGCTGGTCATCGATGCCACAGCCACACTTCTGCATGGCTTTTATTACTTGGCTGGTTACATAGTCAAACGATTTGTCCCCAAAGGCTCCTCTGATGACTGATAGGGATGGAAACCAAGGCTGCAAAGACACGGAGCGAAGGAGGAGTGGGGCAATGCTTTAAGATACATGGCCAAACGCTGTCAATTTTGTTCTGGTATTTATTGTAGTGACATTAATAATAATGAACCGACTGGGGAATAACAGGGAAGGTAACGTTGCCGGGGAACGCCACCATTGTAACTCAAGTTCTGTCTGTTGTAAAGTGTTCGGGTTTTATTGGTGCAGGCCACAAAGTTTCTGTGATTTGCAGATGTCAAGATGCTTTCTCTGGGGGACACGTGCTAAATGTGGTATGGGGTTATTTCTTTCCGGAAAAGATAACGCTGAGACCTACGCACTGGCAGACAGCTCCACAGAAGCCCATCCCTGCCGGGGAGGAGGTGGTGGTCAGGGCAGGATTTTAGTTACAGAGGGTTTTCTGGGATGTGGAGAAGGGAGAAGGAGGTGAGGGTGCAAGGATTTGGGGCTGGCAAATGGTGGGGAGCGAGGAGGGATGGGGGCGAGGTCCTGCTGTTGGTTACACTGCTCGTTGCACCAGGGTTCCACTGGTGGAGGGGATGCGACTGGGTATATCTCATAGCCCTCAGGCTTTTCCAGGCAGCTGAAATCACGTGGATCTTGCTGTGAGGAAAGACCCACTGCCTGTTCTTCTGCGTGGTAGGAAAACATTTTCCCTTAGCCATACCAAGGTCCTCTCCCCCCAACCCTTCCTTGCTCTCTGGTGACCACTGAAGGTCTAAGCCCTGAAGCTTCAAGACATGGCATTCCATGATGGTCTAAGCCCCTGAAGGTCTCAGCCCTGAAGCCCTTGTGCCTGCTCCGAAGCCCAGCAGTGCCCGGGAATCACGCTTTTGGCTTTGAATCAACTGCCACCTGCCCTGCTGCTCTTGAGAGCTGACAGCTCCTCAAGCACGCAGCAGTATTTACGTGCCTGAGGTCTTCATGAGACAGTGCCCAGGCTGGGGATGGGTAACACCACAGCTGTCCTTCTGGGGCTTGTTTTGAAAGCCCAGCTCGCAGAGGGAAAATGATCCTCCTGGATTTCCCTCTAGGGCAAAAGAAAAGCAGCTCTGCCCTTCCCACTGGTCTGGGTCGGCATCAGGGACATCCTTACAGAGAGTGGACACGGGAGAGGAGATGCATGGGGAGCACAGGGGGATTTTGCTGCTTTTGTGTGGATTGATTTGGTGTTTTCATAGCCCCTACCCAGTGGTAGGGTCAGAGCGGGGGAGAAGCCAGCCCTGGGCAGGGCAGGTGGGTCCCCTGGTGCTGTGCTGGGAGTGAAGCTGGCCGGAGGGATGTCAAGGAAGGGAGTCCTGCAAACAGGAGGGAAAAGGCAGAGGGAATAGGACACTTGCGGTGAGTTGCTTACACTTGGAAGTCCTGGCAGCACTCATGGCAGGGGCCTCTGCTGCCCAGGAGAGGAGGAGAGCTCTGCGTGGCTGTCACAGCTGTAGGGACTGGCACGGCCAAGCTCAACATGAGCCCTAGCCGCACAGGCCTTTGCTGGGCATTTCCCTTCCTTATCCAATTTCGGAAACATAGAGGAGGGAAAACGCGGTTGCATTGCCCCTTGCTCCTGTGGGGACTATGGACTGTCAGGTGGGAGGAGAGGCGGAAGGGGGATCTGAGGCACAGCGTTTGTTTTGCTGTGTAAATACCCACCTGGTGAGCCCATGCACTACCAGACACGTTTATGTGGGAGCGGCACCCAACCCCTCTTCTGCACCGCTCATCCTCTCTGCTCGCTCTTCTTCACCCCTTCTCTCTGCCGGTATGAGCCAGGACCCCTGACATCTGGGACACCAGAGCCGGGGTGCACGTGGGAGCTTTGCAGGGAACCATCAGGGGTTTGCGGCCGGACAAAGGGCACAGGGACACCTGCCACTGCTGGAGGAGGACACAGGGGTGCTGCTCTTCCACAGGGCTCAGCTAAGCAAGGGGCTTTGGATCTCTTGGTGCAGCTGCCTGCAGGAGCGAGGTTCTCGGTCTCAGCAGCGTTTGCTCTGGCTGGACTCCCAGAGGCTTTTGGGAGTCCTACATGGATGGATCCTGCCCTTCACCCCCACCTCTGTCCCACCCTCCAGTGCCAGGTTGGTTGTGGACCCCTGATCTGCCATAGCACCCCATAAGGAGTCCCAGGGGTGTGCAAGCCAATGCTGCTGTCCCTGTGGGGGACCCAGCGGTGCTGTGTTGCTGGTGGCCAGTCCTGGGTTGAAGACAGCTCAAATACTCAATGCAGCAGCTTTGCTGCCTCATGCTGCTCATGGCAGGGCTGAGCTGCGGGGGGATAGATTCGGGGGGTAAAGGAGATTTGGCTGGTTCATGGCGGTGACAGGGGGTTGTTTCCTTAGCTCAGGGGCTGCGTTCAATGCAACCAGCTGTGCGTGCATATCCCAGACCAGCACACCCTGACCAGGTGGCACCCCGTTCGGCAGCGATGCTAATGGCACCGTTGGGGATGCCAACAATGGGGATGAAGTGGGGAGGTGGTGGGCTGAGCAGGGACAGAGGACAACTTGTCTCACCCTTCATGGGCCATGGCTGGTTCGTGGAGAAAGAGAGGCCACCCGGCAAGCAGCGGTGGCTTTGTTCAAAAGGAAAGGCAGCTTTTGTGTGCTAATACGAGTCTAATTGGGTGAAGTTAGCAGAGTTTTACAAATCCCTCCTTTGCCTTGGAGCTGTTGGTACGAGGATTTTGGGTGCAAGGAGCAAGGTCCAGGTCACTGCTCCCAGCAGGCAGTCAGCAGTCCACGGATGCTCTCCAAACCAAACTTTGCATCTTTTCCTACATGCCTTTTCAAACATGCCTTCCCCGCTGCAGAGCCAGATGTGGAGCTGGTTTCTCACTCCTTCATGGGACCCTGTCCCAACCCCAGCACTCCTCTCAGGCTGCGTGGCAGCCATCAAGGCAGGAGAGCAGCCAGCTCAGGTCCCAGGAGCTGCCAGGGTGCAGTGACAGGGAGACCAGCCTGGCGGACCCAGGGTCCTCAGCAGCCTCTGAAGGCACGTGTGGTGGCAGCAGCTCTCAAGCACAGCCCAAGCACTGGGGAGGAGGCAGCTGGCCCCCACAGCTGCCTGTCTCGTGCCTTCTGTGTGGCCTTGTCTCTGACACATCTTATCTGTGTGGCGCTGCGCAGCGGCCGTTGATGCACTTCTTAAGGGTCCTGCACCCCGAGCAGCTTCCCCACATCTTAACCCAGCAGCCCCTGCATCCCAGCTCCACCAGCATCTCCAGTGCACCCCCCGGTCACAGTGACATGGGAGCTCACGTGCTGAGAGGCAGCAAAGCTGAGACACCTTGGGAGTTCTGCGTTGCCACATCTCCATCACCATCGCTACCCAGCCTAGCTCGGGTCAGACCGGCAGATCTCTGTGCTGCAGCCATGTCTTCTGACCACAGGTGGATGGTCCCTGAAATCGAAGGGGCTGCAGCACTGTAGGATTTGGGCAGATGTGGGACAATATTATTAAAAATTGTCTTAACATGCTCAGATTTCGAACGCTAAGAACCGCAACCGGCACGGGGCATTTTTCTTCTGTGCTGCACATCTGAGCAGGTAATGGGAAATCTGCCTCAAACGCTGAGCAATTGTCACAGACCAAGCAACATCCTGCTACAAACTAACTATTGTTTGAGATTATTCTCATCTGGGCACGATTTATGGCTTGTGAGCTTTACTCTATCCTTGGAAACAAAGGCTTCAACAAAATAAAAGTTACTTTTCCAAAGAGGGGCTGGTATCACATTTCTGTCACAGTTGCAAACAAGATAATGCAACCCGGGGCACCCTGACTAATCAAGAAAGCACCAGCAGCACAGTTGTTCTTTGTTACAGCTTGACATCTGATATTAATGGCCCTTTTGTGCTTTTAAAACACCTTTTCTCTCTCAAAGCACTTTAAAAGGGTCAATTCATTAAGCTGCAGAATATGTAGGTAAAAGCTGGGGGGCTGCAGGCAGTGAATTTAGCTCTGTGTGTGCCAGAAGAGAGGGAGAGGGGATGTTTTATTCTTCTGAGATGCGGTTACACCTGGGGTGCAGCACGATGGCCGGTTTGGATACAGAAAAATCACATCACGGCAGGATGATGCTTTGCAGCTGATGGGGAGAAACTCCCTCTTGTGTGATGCCATTCCCTTGACTGTTTTTATCACATCTTCTTTGGAAGGAAAACAAGCACTCCCTAAATGTGGCTGTTTTCCTCCACTGACAGTATAGAGATCCTGGGATGACTAAACCAGATGTTGGCGCCTGCGTTTTGCAGGTACCTGTCTGGGCAGATGAACCCCTCCAGCGGAGTCTGCGTTCCTCTCAGGTCTGCAGGAATTGGTGAGACAGGTTGCCCGGAGACGTTGTGGATGCCCCACCGTTGGAAGTGGTCGAGGTCAGGTTGGACGGGGCTTTGAGCAACCTGATCTAGTGGAAGATGTCCCTGCCTCATCCAGATCACCCAACACAGGTTCAACACAGGGGTCTCTGTGTACCTTGAGACGACCCGTGTCTCTGTTGCATCCACCCGGGGGCTAGGCACTGATAATGGCAGAGGGGCTCAGCAACCCCGGCAGCACGGCCCCTCAGCCACAGCCCCAGGCTCAGGTCCTCTGGGTCACACCTCTGCTGCCATTGCACGTTTCGGAGCTGCTCTCCTCTGCGTGGAGCTCCATCACTGGCTCGGTACCTCCCCCCAGCCAGGGAGTTGCTCCAGTTCAGCAGAGAACTGAGCCATGCTTGTTCACAGATTACCGCTCCGGTGTAGTCAGTGCCAGAAAATGGAAAAAGTATTGGAAAATAAATACCAGTGTAACTTGTTCGGCCAGGAAGGATTGCCCAGGAGCAAGGAGTGTGAGGTGTGTCTGGGGTGTGCGTGTTAGCGAGGTTGCGATCCTGCGGGTTCGGCACAGGACGATTTCTCTGTGCTGCACAGTCTTCCAGGCTGTTGGACTTACTTCAGTTTGGGAATGGATCTCACACTGGGTAACATCTGCCATTGATTTCC